AAAACCATTTGCATGTGACCTCTGCAGTAAAACTTTTAAAACTGCATCAGAGCGCACAGTTCACCATCGGAGCCATACTGGAGAGAAGCCGTACAAGTGTGATCTGTGTGGAACATGTTTTTCTACAAGAGGAAATCTCAAGCTCCACAGTAGAATTCACACTGGAGAAAAACCCTTCAGCTGTGACGTTTGTGATCAGAGTTTTTCTCACAGTAGTTATCTCAAAAAACATAAGAGGATCCACACTGGAGAGAAACCATTTGTCTGTGAAAAGTGTGGAAAGTCTTTTACTCATAGATCATCTCTTCATAAACACAATAAAACGTGTGAGAAGCAGGTGTGAAGACGCAGCATCTGGAACAAAGTGAAGGAGACAGAGCTGAGGCTGCATCATGTGAACCCAGAGTCAGACTCTACAGGATCACACTTCAGTCTTTACCCTGTGCTGCAGCTGCTGAGCTTTACAGACCAAACACTTATTGTGGATTTGAACATCTTTACTTTGTGTCTGGAGACTCGGATACATCATGTTTTTGTCTGAAAGGAAAATCTTATGGTTCCTTTAAAGCTGCATCAAGTCTAAGATTCAAACTGACATGTGAAGGAGACAGAGTGGGACATTATTATTCTGAACTAAACTGCAGAGAAAAACTATTGAAGCATATTTACAATTTCAATGTGTTTGTACAAATGTATTTGTGTTTCCAAGTGGTGGGCTCTAAATGGAGAAAGAAGTAAAAAGGTGCAGCCTCCCCATGAACATACAGAGCATATATATTAAACATGTGTTTCTTCTGCCGCTTTAGGACAAAGGATGCATTTTAGCTTTTGTGCTAATTCCAGCATCTTGATGTTGAAGCTGTTTCTGACACATTCATATGTACTGCCCTCATTCAAAGAAATGAACTGATGAATACAAATATGTCGTCTGTTTGGGACCATGAAGGAAGATCAAAGGAGGAAAACTAGTCCAGACAATAATGCAAGTTCAGTTGATTTGTCCTTTCTAAATCCATATTGATTGTTAGGATGTTGTGTTTTTCAATAAATGACTCCATTCTATTTACAAAGAGCGTTTCCAGTATCCCAGTACTTCCTTGTTTCCTCCAATAGCTAACAGTAATTTTGTGTAAGCCCTCAGTCGTACAGGGATTAGTCAAAGCAAAGGAAGGTTTCTCACCCATCATCTGTACTTCTTAGCAAGTTTTCCCGACGTTTCGTCCTCAACCTGGGGACTTCTTCAGGGAATGAATTCTCGGGCCGCGCGTTGGAGATTTATAACCTATGGCTTACCACACCCATAGGTTATAAATCTCCAACGCGCGGCCCGAGAATTCATTCCCTGAAGAAGTCCCCAGGTTGAGGACGAAACGTCGGGAAAACTTGCTAAGAAGTACAGATGATGGGTGAGAAACCTTCCTTTGCTTTAGCTAACAGTAATGTTGTTTATGTCACGTCCTGATCCTAAAGTCACCGATTATTACACCACTCTCCATCTCTTCCACACTGGTGAATATATTGTGGATTAATGTTTGTCCTTTCACAGTGGGCCTGGTTCTGTTGGATAAAGAGAGAAAAGGTTTTAATGTTTCAGACGTGGATGGAACAATCAATACAATATTCTTCTTCTTATTCCTATTTCACACAGAACACATTCCATTTTGTCATTCACAGCTTTTACCATAGCGATAAATGCCATTGCAGCTGTATCCTTAAAAACAATTACAACAACTGTTGCCAAATCGTCTGTCACCATAGCAATTGTTACCATAGTGATAAGTTTTTAAGTGTACAATGACAATGGCTACCATTGCAGCTAATACCCTGGCAATGTTACCATGGCAACGGTTTAGTGTCCTTTTCTAACAGATAAACCTCTGACACGTCCTTTATTACCTTTATCAGGTGGATGAAAAGCTGACACAATATGTGCTTACGGTTTGCACAGAGGGAACAACAGCGAGGCTAACGATTAGCTTTGGAATTAGTTGTCATGGCAGCCGTTGGCATGGTATTGTTGCCATGGTTAACTGATGAGTGAGAATGAGCCACATACACAAATACACATAGTTCATAACAGATAACCTGATGATCAATGTAACAGTGTCAAGATATGAAAACATAAATACATTTCAGTTTTATTGAAAATGTCATGGATGTCTTTATTAATATATATTTATCTTTGTTTGGTTCAAGGTTTTACAATGTGATATAAAGATTTTTTTTAAATGATTATATGTTGATGCATTTCCTGACTTTAGATTTAAACACATTTATTCATCAAGGAATCATTGTTTGATTACATCATTGAGTAATATTATAATAGTATATAATATAATTATATAACATCATTTTTTTCATTCATTTAAAAACAAATGCAACAACAGCATTTAGTATTTAACACAATCATTTACAGTTCCAGTGCATGTGCACTATTGTAATTGTTTATCACTTTAAAACAAAAGCAGCACAAACAAGTGATTGTTTTTTGAGCACAATCTATGAAGGCCCAACTTCAAGGAGGTTTTGCTTCTGTCACTAGTTTCTACATGTTGCCTCTGTCACATCTTTAGATCAGCTTTTTCAGACAGAAAAGTGAGAAAGAGAGGGCCCCCCTCACTCAGCTAATCAGCTCTCAGCCCAAAGAGTCCCAGAGCTCTTTGTCACATGTTTAAAGACATGTTTGAATAAGATAAAAACAGCATGTTGTTGTCTTGTTACTTTTACAAGAGTCTTTCTGTCGGGAAAAGCATCGTGTGTTATTGATGCAGAAAAAAGTCCTGTATCCAGCGTTAATGTGATCTCCATAAATACTTTCACTTTCATGTGTTTCCAGTCAGTAAATATTCTTGAACACTGAAGAAAAGGCTCAGATGCAGAGTCTGGGATGGAGTCTCAGCAGAAGACATGTTTTATTGTTGGTTCACAGCGTAAGCCGCACGACCAGAGCTTCACAGCGTTCACATGGTTTTATACCAAGTCAGAACACAGAAGCTCTCCTCAGCGTCGCCATGGAGACAGTAGAGAAGTCTGCTCCCACCTTCAGACAAAAACATCCAGTGGAAAATCCCCGACTTCTACAGACTGTTGTAAGGAGCAGCTCAGTCTGAGCACGACACTAAAGTCTGATCAAAGATCCACAGGTGAATAAAAGAGGTTTAAAGTCTGTTCTTCATCTGTGTCTCTGCTGCGTCTCTTTACAGCTGCACTCTCTCAGGGGGCTGGGCCTAACACTTTTCTATAACACATGTCACACTTTTTTAATCATACACTCTCAGGAAGCCAGGGAAAGCTTGGGCTCCGACACTGAGGAAACACAATATTTGGAGACGAGAACAGAGAAAGATGAATTCAACAAAGTAAGAAATAAAGATAGAAAAGAAAATGAAACACGTTTAATAAAACTATACTCACATATGTACAATGTGTGCGTCCTTATTCTCTACAGCAGGGGTCGGCAACCTAGGGCACGCATGCCACATGTGGCACGCCGCGGAATAAACACTGGCACGTCGGCACCTCCGCATTATTCTCACTGTATCTGTCCTGTTTTAAAAATAAGAGCATCTCCCTCTTTGTCTGAGCGCTGTTTGGAGGCCGGCACTAGGACCCAGCGGACACCACTGCGGGGATAAGCTGCTTGCTTCCCTCACACACACACCGTGGCTGTATCCGAATGTCCACACTATACCCTATCCACTCACTCACTATATAGTTCGGGACTATATAGCGACTGAGTGAGTGAGTCAGTGCACTCATTCTGTTGGCGATTCGGACAGCTGCACACTATTTTTAGCCGCGGCCCACATCACACCCCTGTCACATGTCATTGGATCAATATAATTTTATATATAAATAAAAGTATATTAAAATATCAATATTTGTCTAATATACATGTATAAAACGTTTTTACAATTTATATTCATATTTGAATTTTGGTTGACTTATTCGCTTAACGTCTTTCATATTCACGCCACCTGACCGGCTCCTCTAACACTGGTGAAATGGCACCTCCACTGAATTTTGCGGTGTTTTTGTTAACAATTATACAACTTCTCATAATGCGAATTAAAAAAAAACCGCCGAACAGAGAGAAGGCGAAGACAGGCGCTGAGGCGGAGGAGGAGAATGGCTCTTCTTTCATTAGCAAGGCGTCGTGTAAGTATTGTAATTCGTCCTTTGTCTATATAGACCCTTTAATTGTTTGTAAACATTGTGACGTATTTTGGTGGGCGGGGCTTAGCCTGGAGGCAAAAAGCTAGAGCGAGTGCTATGATGACAAGCGGGAGTTAACAAGTTTGGTGTGATATTTTTCATAATGGAGGATTTCGAACAGTGTCGAAGAGTGGTTCGGTCTCGGATCAGTTGGACTATGTACAGACACTTTCTCTGCAGGACCGGGACAACTATTTTACTAAATTAACTCTAGCGGATGGTAGCAGGCTGGCTGACCCATACACCTTGCGGGAGTGGCATGAAGACTTGACGGGTCTGCCGAGGGTGGAGTGGCCGGACATCTACATGTACCTAATCGAAACACCTTGTGTGTACAGCAAAGAAAAACTCAAAGCGTATAAATCGTTAGATGCCTACAATTATGTTCTTAATGGTCATGTTCAAACAGTTGTCTACAACAACTTACGTCCGGATCTTTGTGTGCTGCGGTCCCAAGTTTTGCCTAGCCAACGCCAAGGCAAGAAGAGTGCTATGTACGACGCCTGGGCTATCGTAAATCGGGAAAACAATACAGTTTTGACAGCAAACTGCACTTGCATGGCTGGGTAAGTTTAAGCTAACAAATACTTGTTTTAGGTTAGTTGTATTGTAGTAAACCTAGCTCAGCTGTAACGTCTGGACCGTTAGGCTATGCGTTGATATGACATTCTGTTGTTTTTAGGGAAAGAGAAACATATTTGACATTTTCAATGATATATTGCAGGTTAGGGTCTTGTTGCAGTCATGCAGCAGCAGTACTGCTTAAAGTAGAGCTGTATGTTAGGATGGGACGAACGGAGGAGCCAGCATGCACGTCAGGAGAATGCCTCTGGAAAAAAACAAAACGTGAGGTCAAACCAGCAAGAGTTAAGGAGATCCGTTTCCAGAGGCCCAGAAGCAAGTTACAAGGAGTACCACAGAAAGTCAGAAAGTTGAATTGCAGCGCCAAAGGCATGTACCACACTATAAATAAATGAAATCGGCAAATGTATATTCAGTTACTCATGTACAGTACATGTTGCTTACTCACCTATTTAAATTGTAATTGGGAAATGTGTTCGAACAGTGTATATATATATATATATATATATATATATGCACATCACCAGGTGCATGACTACTACAGTGAACTGTGAATGATGAAAAAGCCTGCACACTTACAGCAAAAAGACTGTATTTATTGTGATAACGTTTCGATCCAAGTGGATCTTCCTCAGGTCAAGAGGAAGACCTGAGGAAGATCCACTTGGATCGAAACGTTATCACAATAAGTGGATTAAGTGTGCAGGCTTTTTCATCATTCCACTGGAAAATTTGTGAAACCAAATAAGAAATTTCACATCTAGTTTATGTACTACAGGTTTTGAGTTATAAATTAGTGTGAATAATTAATACAAATGATTGTTTGCCTAATTTTTGTTGTCTTGTTTGTAGAACTTACAGATGCAGACATCCTGGAGCTCAAGCTGATTGCCCCAGAAGCTGCTGTCCTGACCAGTTTTGAAAATAGTGACACAGACACAGCATCTGAGTGTGAGCCAGAGGAGCATCGCCCTGAGCTGCCAGAACCACTGACCGCCTTGTATGACTCCTCCCTTGGGCAGCAGGTGCCACAGGACATCACAGAACGATGTGAGGAAGCCTTTCACAACATAAAAAGAAGCATCCACCCTGAGCAGTGTGAGAGACTTTCAGCCATTACAACACAACAAGCGGAATCACAATCCTGGCATTTACACAGAGCAGGCAGAATCACAAGCACAACATTTTACAGTGCATCAAAAGGTGATCATGTGGACAGAACAACCTTAATTAAAATCATGCACTATAATGAACGCAACATCCAAGTTCCTGCTGTTATATGGGGAAGAGAGAAAGAGAAAATTGCTCGTCAGTTTTACACGGACGAGCTCTGTAAAACTCATACAAATGTCAAAGTTAGTTTGAGCGGTTTTGTAATACGGCCTGATGAACCACACCTTGGCTCATCCCCAGATGGGAAAGTCTCATGTTTATGTTGTGGGGATAGGGTTTTGGAAATCAAGTGCCCATATCGGTACCGGGAAGGCCTTCTGAATGCCCCTCTAAAAGAAGATTTCTGTCTTGACCAAAGATTCCAGCTAAAGAAGTCACACCAGTACTATCACCAGGTTCAACTCCACATGTTTGTTTGTAATGTCGATTTCTGTGATTTTGTGGTTTGGACACCTAAGGAACTGATAATAAATAGGATCGCAAAAGATGAACAGCTCTTACAACAGGCTTTGCCTATGGCAAAACAATATTTCTTATCTAATGTTTTACCAGAACTATTAACCCGCAGCCAAGATCCTACACTTCAACCATTAAGATTTTGTAGCACCTGTAAAAAGCCAGAGTTCGGGAAAATGATTGACTGTATGGTGTGTAAAGACGTCTTTCATTATAGTTGTGTGCAAATTAAAAGAAAACCAAAGAAGTGGTATTGCGCTCAGTGTAGATGAATTAACTCGCATTGGTCAGTCACATTAGGACAGAGTTAAACATGTTTTGTGATGTACTTTTTTTTAGAAACATGCAGTTCAACATTCACATTTTAATGTAATCTTATTTATTGTCTACAATTAATGTGAGAAATGACGTTTTCAGCTAATGAACATGTGGTTATAAATACAAAGACATGTAAATATAAATGAAAATATGTACATACGAAAATGTCACGTAAAATGTTTCGATGTCACAATAAAACTCATTTGCCTTTAACAAATATTTTGCAGAAATAAAAATGTCAGAAACCATTAAACTAGTTATCTCTTTACGCACTGTTCAATTAAGAAAAAATTCAAACAATTTATAAAAACCTAAGGATTTGAAATTGATTTGAAATTGATATTCACAATGTTTGTGCAAGCTCGCTCAAACTACAGGATACAGATGACTGCTTTTTAATCTTTAGTGGAGTAATCAGGTTGAACCCAATTTAGTTGTACAATTGTATAATCACAAAGCTTTTAGTAAATGTAGGAGGGCTTTTTTAACTTAAACCATTACACAATCTTTCATAGATGACACACTTTCTCTCTTAGGCACAACAGATTTACAAAGATTAGTTAGAGCCCCACACACAGTTACCATGTCATCTAGCAGGTCAACTTGGGAGATTGGAATCACAGAATGTAAAACTTTGAAGCTCTTCCATTTACTAATGCTCTTTCCACGTGAATGCGGACATGAGAAAGTTTTCTTGAACTATTTACCTCCCTAGCAGGAAGCTGGCTCTTTCCTTTAGTAAAACTTGGAATACGCAAAGTGGCACCATATGCAGCAAGCTCATCCCTTATTAAAAATCCTCGGTCAGCTAAAATGTCATCTCCTGGTTCCAAATGACTTAAAAACCCTGATTCAAGTGTTATTTGTTTGTCTGACACTCTGCCCCCCCAGCCAGTGGACAGAAAGGAAACTGCACCTGCAGGTGTTATTCCTACCAGGTACTTAATGGTGTTATTATGCTTATAATTTGACCATGTTTGCGCACGGGCTGTCAAATCAGAAGGTCTTTCAATAAATATTTCAGTACAGTCTATGATGCATCTACATCTTCTGAAATTCCGCCTGAAAGCTTTTGGCATGCTTTTGAGCGCAGCACCCTTACTTGGCCATTTAATAAGAGGTTTTAGCACAGATGCCATTACAGGAAACCAGAACCTTACAATTTTGGACACTTGGCTTTAAAAAATATTGAACCTGTAGGCGAGATCTCTGTTACTAAGGCCAAGTCTGAGTTTCATGAGCACCAATAGTAAATGATCCTCCAGCTCGAGACCGGGAACTTGCTGTAACACACTAGGTTTTAATTTGGTCATTATCCAACTAAAGATTGTCCAGGTGAGCCCAGTCAGAAAGAGCAGATATGCAGCATTACTTTTAACTGTGGCGAATGTGAAGTGTGATTGGTGGAGTTCTTCTTTCAGTTTTTGGTTTTCTTCTTTGAGTGTATAAAACTCTGTTCTTAACTTAAAATAATCATTGTTCAGTTGTTCATATTTCTGACTCAGAGCATTGTATGTCTTCTGTGTGACCATTGGCTCGAGCTCAGTCTCTGCCTCTTCTTCCTCACGGTCATGTAGTAGTGGCACATGGTCCATGTCAGCAGACTCCTCATCAGGAACCAGAACCTCATTTGCTTGAAAAACACACGATGTCATTTGAAAGTACAACATGCATAAAACATTCTGTAAATAAATGGTTGCATGCTACTCACTGTAGCTATGGCCATTCTGTTCCATTTTCAGGGCTTCTCTTCTTCTTTTTCTTGCAAGCCTAAGAGAAGAAAGCCATGATTACAGAGACTACAAAGACACAAAAAACAGAATTTATATATATTTTTTTAAACTTACCTCTTGATCTTTTGCACTGGCACGCTAGCCTGCTGTTTATATGTAAAAACAGATGGGACGAAGTCTGGGCTTTCAGCATCCATAGATGCCTCCAGTGGCGGCTGGTGGAATTTTCTACTGGGGGGGCTATGAATATGATGACTAGATATATACCAGCAGGGTAGGGATGCTTTCTGATCCCTACCCTGTAGCTTTCATCCAGCTGGGATGAAATATTTATCTTCCCAAACATAGCTAATTTGAGGGCATTTTGCATGTGGATACCAGTCTGCTCATGCTTCTTTGCCTTTTCTAAAAAGTGCTTCAGATCAGTCATACCTGTCTTGATCCATGCTGGGTCAGATCCTGATGTTTGAAACAAGAGGCATGGAAAGCAAAATAAAGCATTAGCCTCGCTACATGCTGCTAGCCAAGATTTGGCGCTGAACCAGGTCCTGGACTGCTGACTAATCAGTGGCGTTCCAAGGGTACCCCGGGGCCCCAGGCAAAAGAGTCCTTGGGGGCCCTGATACCGACCATATAACCACATAAAAAGGTTAATACTGCAGTAGATATAAATATTATTTATTTTGCATCATAAAGTTGAAACAGAATTGACAAAATACTAACAACAAAGATCAGCGGAACAACAATATTATGAAAACATAATTAACAACTAAACAATAAAGCTTATAGGTTCTCAACTCTGTGACAATACTTCTTTGTAGAACTTGCATATTATAGCAATAATCCTGTGGATTACTGTTTTCCAGAGCTGCTCCTCAAGGTGCAATAGATCCTGGTTTATTTGATCTAGAGCAGATTTTGTTTTTAACCTTATCTGGAGCTCATGCCAACTTTTCATGTTATTTATATGGGTTTGGAATATTCATGCTCTTTTAAATGTGCAACAAGGTTTTTCCAGTTTTTAAACCCTCCTTTAGTTAGAGCATTATTGTCCTTTTTGCCAAATATTTTGCAAGCAAAGCAAAACGACCGCAAATCGGTCGATTTTGAATATACTAGCCATGTTCGCTTTATTTTTTCACCATTTCTCATGACCATGTAATAATTTTCCTTTGTGAATCTCCAAGGATTTTGTTCATTGCTTTGAGGAAAAACAATATCCGTCACCTGAAGAGGACTTTTTTTCACCAGGGAACTCTTTTCACCATCATTAAGAACATCAGGCCACTGTCCAGGATCAGAAGATGTCAATCTTATTGGTGTTGCTTTTTCTTGGTCTGTGGATGTCGTTTGAGCTGAAACCAATTAAAAAAACACATGAATTCTCAAAAGAAAAACACAATAAGCATAAATAATCCTGATGTGATATCATTACTTGAACAAACACTATGTTTAGTCTCTTTTTACAGCCTTTACAATTACAATTGTTGCTAAAGATGGCTTGCTAAGTATGTCCATATTTACATTACTATTTATGTATTTTTAATTTACACATCTTCAAAATACAAACCAACTTAGATATTGATTTATTTTCAAGTATACCTCTTATATTTGTTTGAAATTATAGATATGGTAGATACTACAAAGGGCCATAGTGTGTAAAATTCAAGCATTTTTTAAACTAAATACATTATTGCACTAATATCATACCTGGAGTGGGTGCTTGTGGTTCTGTTTGGTCCTCTTGGTCAATGGAGGTAGGCGACGAAATGTTGACCATTGCAGTATGGGATATAGCCGACTGCTGCTCACTGGAGGAAGCGCTGCTGTCCAGGGCTGTAGAGCTTGAGGGGGCAGTGAACCTTGGCGTGGCAGTACTTGGGACTGTAGTAGTGTGTGTAGCGGCAGACTGAGCTTAAAGATAAAGAGAAATCAAACATGGCATTAACGTCGTAATGTATTTTGATAAAATATCTTTAGAAGTAAGAATATATATAGATAAAGTACTTACAACTAGAAGCATGTTCCTGATTTGAAGAAGATGAGGGAACTAAACATTTTCTTAGCAATCCTGAGCAAAAGGGGAAAAATATATTATTTAGTAAGTAAAAATGCAACATCTATTAATCGTTTACATTAACATTAAAATGTAGACAATTTCTTATTTCTAACAATAAATGTACAAGCCTGGGGCCTGCCTGGCATACTGCACAGTCTACCATAGAAAATTAGTATTTTAAAAAGTATTTGGTGACGAAAAGCAATGAGAAATAAATTAGCATGTCTTTTTATAAACTTGTTCACTACACTCATGTTATAATTAATTAAAAACACTACCTGCTATCAAAGTGTATTAATCCTTCAAAACGC